TTTTCACCAGCTCAGGCCGGGATGGGGGGTTGGTGGTGGTACATGATAACCCCACCCAGATCTGGCTCCGGCATTGGCATCACTGGTTGCTAGAAGCTGATGGTCCCTAGTTTCTAAAACAATACAGACTAATGATTTTAGGACAGTGGTGGAGCTCCAGGGCCTTGTCCCAGCTGCGACTGCTGCACCCTGGTAGTTCTGCCACTGACTTCAAGCTGTAGAGGGACTACAAATCTCAGCACATTATACAGCAATGCAGAATACCACCAGCTATAGAGGACTACAAATCTAAGCAGTACATTATACAGCAATGCAAAATGGCATCGACTATAGAGGACTACAAATTCCAGCAATACATTGTATAGCAATCCAGAATAATACCATCAGCTATAGAGGACTACAAATCTCAGCAGTACATTATACAGCAATGCACAATGGCACCGACTATAGAGGACTACAAATTCCAGCAATACATTGTATAGCAATCCAGAATAATACCATCAGCTATAGAGGACTACAAATCTCAGCAGTACATTATACAGCAATGCACAATGGCACCGACTATAGAGGACTACAAATTCCAGCAATACATTGTATAGCAATCCAGAATAATACCATCAGCTATAGAGGACTACAAATCTCAGCAGTACATTATACAGCAATGCACAATGGCACCGACTATAGAGGACTACAAATTCCAGCAATACATTGTATAGCAATCCAGAATAATACCATCAGCTATAGAGGACTACAAATCTCAGCAGTACATTATACAGCAATGCACAATGGCACCGACTATAGAGGACTACAAATTCCAGCAATACATTGTATAGCAATCCAGAATAATACCATCAGCTATAGAGGACTACAAATCTCAGCAGTACATTATACAGCAATGCACAATGGCACCGACTATAGAGGACTACAAATTCCAGCAATACATTGTATAGCAATCCAGAATAATACCATCAGCTATAGAGGACTACAAATCTCAGCAGTACATTATACAGCAATGCACAATGGCACCGACTATAGAGGACTACAAATTCCAGCAATACATTGTATAGCAATCCAGAATAATACCATCAGCTATAGAGGACTACAAATCTCAGCAGTACATTATACAGCAATGCACAATGGCACCGACTATAGAGGACTACAAATTCCAGCAATACATTGTATAGCAATCCAGAATAATACCATCAGCTATAGAGGACTACAAATCTCAGCAGTACATTATACAGCAATGCACAATGGCACCGACTATAGAGGACTACAAATTCCAGCAATACATTGTATAGCAATCCAGAATAATACCATCAGCTATAGAGGACTACAAATCTCAGCAGTACATTATACAGCAATGCACAATGGCACCGACTATAGAGGACTACAAATTCCAGCAATACATTGTATAGCAATCCAGAATAATACCATCAGCTATAGAGGACTACAAATCTCAGCAGTACATTATACAGCAATGCACAATGGCACCGACTATAGAGGACTACAAATTCCAGCAATACATTGTATAGCAATCCAGAATAATACCATCAGCTATAGAGGACTACAAATCTCAGCAGTACATTATACAGCAATGCACAATGGCACCGACTATAGAGGACTACAAATTCCAGCAATACATTGTATAGCAATCCAGAATAATACCATCAGCTATAGAGGACTACAAATCTCAGCAGTACATTATACAGCAATGCACAATGGCACCGACTATAGAGGACTACAAATTCCAGCAATACATTGTATAGCAATCCAGAATAATACCATCAGCTATAGAGGACTACAAATCTCAGCAGTACATTATACAGCAATGCACAATGGCACCGACTATAGAGGACTACAAATTCCAGCAATACATTGTATAGCAATCCAGAATAATACCATCAGCTATAGAGGACTACAAATCTCAGCAGTACATTATACAGCAATGCAGAATAATACCATCAGCTATAGAGGACTACAAATCCAAGCAATACATTATATAGCAATGCAGAATAATACCATCAACAACAGAGGACTACACATCTCAGCATTACATTATACAGAAATGCAAAATAATACCATCAGCTATAGAGGACTACAAATCCAAGCAATATATTATAACATTATATAGCAATGCAGAATAATACCATCAGCTACAGAGGACTACAAATCCCAGCAATACATTATACAGCAATTCAGAATGGCCCCGGCTATAGAGGACTACAAATTACATCAATACTTTATACAGCAATGCAGAATATGTTGCTAGATACTCTGTGCTGCTCCGGGGTGCCAGCCTGATGTCTCAGGTGGAGGGTCTCAGGAGAGGGAGGTGTGCGGGCCGTGGAATCGCTGTAAACAGGCGCTGTGAGGTCCCTAGCAAGTGCAGGACCTATGGCAGCCTCTTCAGTTTTTAAAATGTAAAGCACTGGTATCAGTTTTTATTATCGGGGCATTTTTAGGAGTACAAGTACTCCTAAAGAAAATTCCCAGTATCGGCACCAACCGATAAAAACGCTAAAGAATAGGCGCCATTTTTTACGGCCTTGTGCATGAGCCCTAATAGTGGCACTGACAAAATAAGGCTTTATATCGGCTTTAGTACTTTCTAAAGCTGGTCATACACTGCTAGATTTTTGTATAAACATACGAGCAGGGATAGGCAACCTCAGCAATCCAGCTGTGGTGAAACTACAAATCCCATCATGTCTCTGCCTCTGGGAGTTATGCCCAAGCCTACGATCGGCCGGGGGCTTTTTAATGTTTCCTGTTGTGTTATAATGTATTATTGCTGGGATTTGTTGTTCCTCTATAGCTACCCTGTCACCTTTTTTTTCCCCTTTAGGAATATTTGCCTTCACTTCCTGTCCATTAGCCACAAAAGGAAGTGAGAGGAAATCCCTCCAATGAGAGAGAAATCCCTGGTGGTCAGGAAGGTCACCAGAACTAGTGTCCCCATTGGAAGATTTCTCATCTATTCCCGTTCTGGTGACAACCTAAAATTTTGGATTTTCTTTCATTTTCAGTGACCAGAACAAATAGAGAGCGAGAATGTCCCTAATAGTGACACAGCAATAAAAACCTGACAGGTGATCTAATAGCACTCCACTCCTAATAGAACAAAAGTTTTGGCTTAAGTTGTGCTTTAAGGACACTTTCACACACACGGTCTATTCAGATCTGCTGGTCATTTCTTCAGGCGGATCGGATCGGAAGCCCATTGTAACCTTATGGGCAGTGTTTGTCCATTTACGTATGATTACCCCTGACTCCTTCTGGATCCAATAGAAAAAAATGGAACAGAGTTCTGTTTTGGCAGTCCTGATCATGACGGGTCAGGGGTCATCAGATGTAAACAGATACATGTCCACTTACACCCCATTCCCTATAGGTCTGTACCGCTCAGTTTTTGACCCCTCTTACGATGGAGGAAAAACTAAACAGACATGGATGCCACAAAGTGACATCCGTTCCATTCTGTGCCTATCAGTAGGGGGGTCTGATCACTGACTCCAAACAAGTATGCAGACTGGATCAGACTGCACTCCGACTTTCTGATCTCCATGCTTGTCAGTGACTCAGAAAGTTCTTTGGCCAGAGACAGCCAGATAACAAGCATTTTTAGAAGGAGAGCAGCATTATGCCTTAGTGAAGTCATGAATTTGATTAGAAAGCCATAGTCCATACCTTTATCAGACCCCAGGAGAATAATGCAGTGTGCACACAGCCAGGCACGTCCCCAGACAACTTAATAGAGCTGTTTGAATTGCGGAGAGCCCATTTCCCATTCAGGTTGTACACCTGCACAGTAGCATTACGCTCCCGCAAACTTCCATACGTAATCTGCAGCAGTCCCAAGACCATCCAGCACTTGATGGAGTTTAGTACCAAATACCACCCTATAGCCATGGCTTTAACCACAGCTGCAGAGTGACTCTTTTCTCCAAATTCTGTAGTCAGCTGTATGCACAGATCGTCCCCATGCTCCTGCCCAGGGTCCCTCAGACTGCTGTGTGCAGTGGTTTTATGTCAGCTCAGTAGTTCCTGGCTTCCTTCTTGTGCTGTAGAGTCATGTGTCATGGCTCGTGCCTGATCCAGGCGGGGTTAACATGCTGACTGCCATTACAGGGGCGGTGTTTCTGTCTCATATAGAAGGAAGTGAACAAGTATCTGAACAAAAGCTGCTTGATTGTTGCTCCTATAGGAGACGAAGCTTTGCTGACCTTTCACGAGGGGCTACACGTTTCTCCTTCTGAAAAGCTTGGTTGTCTGCGCTGTTAACAAACTATAGGTGGTACAGATTATAAATTGTGATAAGGAAATTATGTGCAAAATTGTCATACAAAAAAAGTAACAAATTGTGCCAAATGATCTATTATAGTTTATAAGGAGCTCTACTGCTTGGTGCACTAATGCGCTTATTCTATGCACATAAGATATATGCAATATTTTTAAGTATATATCACAGCCTTTCACAACCTTTTCTCCCTGATGTGCCTTTTGGCTTCCTCAAAATGTTGTGGACTGTGATATGAAGGGGAGAATGAAGACTGATGTGAAGGGGGCTCCTGATGTAAAGGGGGAACTCTCATATGAAAGAGGAGCTTCTGATGCAAAAGGTGACTCTAATGTGAAAGGGGGGAAATCTTGATCTGAAGGGGGTACTTCAACGTGAAGGGGGAACCCCACTTTTTTAGGTGCTTTTGCATGGGGTCCCACTTAAAATCTATGACATTTTAGACTGGGGTGCATCAAGATTTGTCATACTTTTAAAGGGTCCTGTGACTAAAAAGAAAGGTCGAGAGACACAAATATATATCGTACCGAGGGGCACTTTCCCACCGCCGCCGTGTCCAAGCTCTGCTGTCCCCGTGCAGCGCCTGGGACCGGCTCAGCAAGTCTCCCCGCAACTATCAGAGTGAGATCCGATCACTGGACCTGAAAGGGATGTTTATTACATAATTTCCGGTGTCACTATTTACATTCTTTGGCTCTTAGAGCAAGGAGAAGAAGCTGGGGAAGCAGGTCTGAAAGACCCCTAATGTCTCCATGAAGAGGACCTGTCACACTCTATCTGCTGTTACATAGGGGGCTTATTAGCGACTTATGTGATAACAATAAGGTTAGTGTAAAAAAAAAAATGTTTAAAAATTAAAAACATATAAGAAAAATGAAATCATATCGCCGCGAACGTTAGAGTGAGAGCAATAATTCTAGAGCCATCAGTCACTGTTAGTACTAAACTGAGGAGCGGTAAAAGCGTTTAAAATGTTCCCTATGGGAAATTTGGGGTATTTAATTTTTTTGCGGCTTTACGGGTGAACAGAATTTTAAGTCTTGACATGTTGGGTATCTCTTTACCCAGCGTGACCCCATCTTTCATATTTTACCCAAAAATTGGGTATTATATTCTGTTCCTGTGCGCTAAATTTTTATTTAGTTTATTTTATCCTAAAAATACTGGTTTGATAAACATTTGCGCAAATACCGTGCAACGTTAAAAAAATTGCAACTAGCATTTTTGTATTCATCAGGACCTCTGATTTCAGAAAACATATCATTGTTTGGGGGTTTGAAGCTGTTTTCTATCCAAAAATGTATATTTTATCATGTGTGCGCAAGTAGTAAAAAAGTGCTCCGGACAGCAAGTGGTTAAAGGTTGCATATATTTTGGATGCATAGAATAAATGCATGGACATACAGTTGTGTGAAAAAGTGTTGGCCCCCTTCCTGGTTTTTCATTGTTTTGCACGTTTGTCACACTTTAATGTTTCAGATCATCAAACAAATTTAAATATTAGTCAAAGATAACACAAGTAAACACAACATGCAGTTTTTAAAGGAAGGTTTTTATTATTAAGGGAAAACAAAATCCAAACCCACATGGCCCTGTGTGAAAAAGTGTTTGCCCCCTAAACCTAATAACTGGTTGGGCCACCCTTAGCAGCAAGAACTGCAATCAAGCGTTTGCGATAACTTGCAATGAGTCTGTTACAGCGCTGTGCAGGAATTTTGGTCCACTCATCTTTGCAGAATTGTTGTAATTCAGCCACATTGGAAGGTTTTCGAGCATGAACCGCCTTTTTAAGGTCATGCCACAGCATCTCAATAGGATTCAGGTCAGGACTTTGACTAGGCCACTCCAAAGTCTTCATTTTGTTTTTCTTCAGCCATTCAGAGGTGGACTTGCTGGTGTGTTTTGGATCATTGTCCTGCTGCAGAACCCAAGTTCGCTTCAGCTTGAGGTCACGAACAGATGGCCGCACATTATCCTTCAGGATTTTTTGGTAGACAGCAGAATTCATGGTTCCATTTATCAGAGCAAGTCTACCAGGTCCTGAAGCAGCAAAACAGCCCCAGACCATCACACTACCACCACCATATTTTACTGTTGGTATGATGTTCTTTTTCTGAAATGCGGTGTTACTCTAACGCCAGATGTAATGGGACACACACCTTCCAAAAAGTTCAACTTTTGTCACATCAGTCCACAGAGTATTTTCCCAAAAGTCTTGGAGATCATCAAGATGTTGTTTTCTGGCATAACGGAGACAAGCTTTTATGTACTTTTTGCTCAGCAGCGGTTTTCCTCTTGGAACTCTGCCATACAGGCCATTTTTGCCCAGTCTCTTTCTTATGGTGGAGTCATGAACACTGACCTGAACTGAGGCAAGTGAGGCCTGCAGTTCTTTGGATGTTGTTGTGGGGTCTTTTGTGACCTCTTGGATGAGTCGTCGCTGCGCTCTTGGGGTAATTTTGGTTGGCCGCCCACTCCTGGGAAGGTTCACCACTGTTCCATGTTTTCGCCATTTGTGGATAAAGGCTCTCACTGTGGTTCGCTGGAGTCCCAAAGCTTTAGAAATGGTTTTATAACCTTTTCCAGACGGATAGATCTCAATGACTTTATTTCTCATTTGTTCCTGGATTTCTTTGGATCTCGGCATTGTGTAGCTTTTGAGGATCTTTTGGTCTAATTCACTTTGTCAGTCAAGTCTTATTTAAGTGATTTCTTGATTGCGAACAGTAATAAGGCCTGGGTGTGGCTAGAGAAATGAACTCAGGTGTGATAAACCAGAGTTAAGTTATGTTTTAACAGCGGGGGCAAACACTTTTTCACACAGGGCCATGTGGGTTTGGAGTTTGTTTTCCCTTAATAATAAAAACCTTCCTTTAAAAACTGCATGTTGTGTTTACTTGTGTTATCTTTGACTAATATTTAAATTTGTTTGATGAACTGAAACATTAAAGTGTAACAAACGTGCAAAACAATGAAAAATCACTTTTTCAAACAACTGTATTCGGTCAATGACATTGACCTAATATGGCCATGTGTCTATATAAGGTCAATGATGTCACCAGGATTCCAACCCTTTGTTTACACAAAGCTGTGGGGCTGCTTGGTCCAGCACTGACAGCTTTCTTCCAGGTTTGAAACCTGAGCTCATCCCTACTGGTGACAATTTGTTACTGAAGCTTTCTACTTATGCGGTCAACTATAATCAGTGCTCCCGCTTTTAGTTTCAGAATGGGCAAAGCTGCAGATAATACAAACAATGATGAAGAACTGTAAGATGTGTTAGGCTGACCATACACTATACAATCTGATTGTAAAATCTCTTTGTAGTGCAAGGGTCTGCCTTATTTAATACAAATTGAATGGATTGTTCAGGTTGGTCCTTATATTACAATAGTTTTGGTACTCATAAATAGTGATGGGCCGAACACCGCCTTGTTTGGTTCGAATTCAAACTTTAGAACATGGTAAAAGTTTGAATTTGAACTCGAACGCAATGCTCTATGTTTACAGTTGTATGGCATCTGACAGGTGAGTCATGATTGGCAAAGCCTTCATTACTTTGCCCAATCATGGCTCTTACAGAGTACTGTGCCCTGATTGGGCAGTCTTGCATCTGACCTGTAGTCAGGTGCAAGGCATTAGCCAACCAGGGATCACAAGGCACTGTGCGGTCCACAGTGTCTTGTGGGGCGCTTGGCGGGCGAATAGTCCGCCGAACGCCCCGATAGTTCGCTTGCCGATGTTCGAGTCGTACTCTTGCTCATCCCTACACATAAAGGACATGGGACTGTATGTGACATATGTTTATATTAACTTAAACTCTAAATAAATAATCACTCAACACTCTATTCATTTTATTGGCATTAATTGGCCGCAGCATTTTTATTGGATAAATATTTTTTGGATTTTTATTGGATAAATATTAAATCATACTCTAATAACCAATCTTAATAATCAACCAATAACTCTTATACTTCCACCATATTGCCCAGTTTTCAAAACTCGAGCAATATATTAATCAATGGAATAGTCCCCCTCTCCTGAGGTGACAAACCACATAAAAAAACCGTGACTAGGGAGGGAGGGAGGGAAGCTTCAAAACGGGATTCCAACTGGATGATTTTAATCAAATCGGCACCTCCTTATATAGGGCATAAATCCCAACTGCCATCCATTCTCGTGGCAATGTTTTCCCGCCAAAATAACGTTTTTTCCCGCCGGAAAAATCCACCGTTGGATACTCTTAAAGAGGCAGTGCACTAAAATACAAAAAACTGGGAAAAAACACCAAAAATGCATCTAACCTAAAGTCCCCACATTCCCATGAAAATGGGCATCTAAGGGATGCCATTGATACATTGTACAAGGAATAATGTATAGCCAGCTTAAGAAGAGAGGTCTGCAGGGGGTATGACGGCATGTGCAGGACAATAGTGGAGAGGATATGACGACAACCAATATGCGCTGGGGAGAAGCGTTGAGGCGATGATGAGAGGCATGAAAGCAGTGCAGAAGTTATGGTGGCAGGCAATATGTGATAGAGAGAAGTACGGAGGGTGTGACGATGGATATGTTCAGAGGAGGAATGCAATGGGTATGATGTTGACCAATATCTGCTGGCGGGGTATGGGTAGGCAGTGGTCAGCATGTGCAGGAAAATTATGTGGAGGGTATGAGCCCCCTTCTTCTGTTCCCCCTAATCTCCTGGCAGCTTGCCCAGCTCTGATCCTCTGGTCTGCAGCTGTGAGTTCCGCTTTCTGGCCACCTGCAGAGCCTAAGCACAATTTATTAAAGTCCTTAGGACTCTCTAACAGCAGTAGAGGATCATGGC